GTAGTAGTAGTAGTAGTAGTAGTAGTAGTAGTAGTAGTAGTAGTAGTTAGTAGGTAGTAGGTAGTAGGTAGTAGGTAGTAGGTAGTTAGTAGTTAGTAGTTACTAGTTAGTAGTTAGTAGTGGTAGTGGTAGTAGTAGTAGTAGTAGTAGGAGTAGGAGTAGTAGTAGGAGTAGTAGTAGTAGTAGGAGTAGTAGGAATAGGAGTAGGAGTAGGAGAAGTAGCAGTAGCAGAAGTAGCAGTAGCAGTAGAATGTGATAGAATTTAGTTGAACTTTGCTGCGATTTGGATGAGGGCTATGCCAGAAGTCAATTCCCAACAGACGGAGAAGGGAACACTAGATTAGCTGCCTCAGATCAAGACTTGCTGGTCACTTGGTTTGGATGTAATGAGATACACGGAGGCAGCGAACAAAGGAGGTAAGTAGATGAGACTGCGGTATGCAGGTCTTCATCTCCTAATAATTGATGGGACTTTACACCATTTGTACACCTCCACCCAGAGATTATGGCACTCATGCCCAGCTGTGCCGATCCCTCCAAGACCTCGCTTCACCTTTCGCCCACCCATTTCCAGACCCACGTCTTCTGCAGCACACCACCATGTCCAGACCGACAGCTCGCCAGCTCGTTCGCCAGCTCGCCAGCTCGCCGCTCAGGTTTTCCTCGACCAAAGAGGCCAAGGCTGCGATCGCCGCCATGGACGGTCATATGATGAAGGGCCGCAGGCCCCGCCCACGCGTCCGGGCGCGGCGCGGCCCGGGTGGACGTGCTGGACGGGCCCAAACATGGAATCTTCGTCTGGAGTGTGGCGCGTGATGCGCCCACACTGGGAGGATGCGAGGAGTGGCAAAGAGCATCAAAGAGGTTGTTTTCTTTTGTTTTATTTTTATTTTTGTGTGTAGGTGTTTGTTTTTTTTTGTATATATATAAATGTGGAGCTGTCCATCATACAGTTGCTGCTTCTTCCTGGGAGAGGTGACCAAAACATGTCTGCACTTTGGATATGTTTGGAGCTTTGATGTATTTCGATATCATCAGGTTGACAGAATTTGTATAGAATCCCCATCCCAGAGGCTATGGAATTGTATTGATTCCATCGTCTTTCAGAGGCGCTTTTCGTTTGTTCTTGTTGGAACTCCAACTTCTTCAGTGCAAACTCTTGGCTGTTAGATTTCTGAAACCAAGAGACGCTGAAACAACAGAGCTAACTTGCAAGCATCTCACTCTGAAACACCTACGTTTGGGGAGTTCATATCCACGACTCTTGCAGCGCAACCAGGCTGGCCCCGCAGCCATTGCACACGTTGACAGACCTTACTCAACTCTTCGGTTTACACAGGAAAACTATCCCTACAAGTCCAGTCTGACCCAGTACAACCTGGTCTTTTACCATCTTTTACCTCCCTGAGTAGTGTTTTTGTAAGAGCAACTCCAGTCTGAGGTCGTCATTGACCGGTATTGCCACCATCTTCTACACTCTCACTGACGACACATGGAAGTGGATGGAATGGTCCCGAACGGAAGACTACTTTCCTTTGCAAACATGGGGCGCCATCCACTTCATGTCAGTGAGTCGCAGTGTAACCTCCCTGTCCAAGAGGCAGACCTTTTCTCGAAATGATCCATCTTCCATCTAATTGGTCTATCTAATGTTTAAACATTCTCTAACGTATCTAACAACTCATAGAACATCAGACGAACGCAGAGCTGAGAGCTACATCGAATCTTCCAACGACACCGTCTTTGACGTCATCATCTTCCTCCCTCCCCACGTCTTCTTCCTCGCCTGTCACCAGGCTCTACGTGTGTCGCTACGATCCCATTGGCGCCGGCCGGATCCAGGTGGGGCGATGAAAAGCCGGATCCGTTCCGGGCGGCGGCGTCTCTGGAGATCTGGAGAGAGAAGTAAAAGACCACAGATCTGAAGAGATTCAAGGGATTGAGGAAGGGATTGGGCTTGGAATTCTGAGCGAGTTTGGAACACTTGTTGGCGCAGATGGAACTCAGAACGTGCGAAGAGTTGCACAACGAACGCCACCCTGAATCATGGTGGCATCCTAGCATGAATCAACTGGTCGATTTTTGATATCCCATCCTTTGCCAAAATACGGAAAGACCCTAGACCATCAGTTCACATCAATTCAACTGAATGTTCTCTCAATCACCGACGCCGGACATGGGGGATTTCATGGGATTTCATGGGATTTCTTTGTGGATTTCATCCAACTTTCCAGATCCTCGAACTCACCGCTTCTGGCGTTTCGTTCCTGCCCCCTTCGTTGGCGAGGCTCGCCGACCCTGGGAGAATTGCCCACCCGTGTCTCGGTCGCAGTCGACGCGGCTGGGCGAAGCGGCCGTTTGGGTGGATGAATGGGTGGCGTGGATGGATTGGAAACAAAACGTTGGCAAAGACCATCATGGTTGTGCTGGTTTTGTAGTTAAACATCCTGAGAAGAATCAATTCATCGGTAAAGGATGTAAAGGCTGTTGAAAACAAATGGTGTTCAAATCCTAGGGGATTCAGTAGATCTCAAAAAGCTTGAAGGACCGACTGAACCCCTGCCTTCCATAGCTTAGGGAAGAAGGTCGCGGTTCTTAGAATGGACCGATCCATTTAAAGAACTTTTTTGGGTCGCGGAACATCCACTCTTGAATCATCTTGAATCCACAACATAAGAAAAGAAACACGTACAATCACGTATATTCAGAAGATTCCAGGTCACGAAGCTGACCTGGTACGCCGTATCCGTATAATTGCGCATCAACTTGGTCGTGTACGAGGTCATTTTGTGGGGATTGGTGGGGGATCCATCGACCGTTGCCACCTGGGTCTGCGCCACCGGCGTCGGTCGGAACCTCCACGGTCAGGAGGTGAAGGAAGAGATTAAGAGCGAGGATGAGGAGGATGGTAAGAAGCTTGGTTTGATTTGGTTTGGTTTCATCATGTGTCATAGTTTTTTTTTCTCCATATATTATATATATATCACCCCAATAGATTGGTGTGGATCATTGATTTCAGACCATCATGGTTGACTCCATCTCAGGTCTTAGTGGGACTTGGTTTTACATGGGGGGAAGCTTGGAGAGGATGGCGGCTAGGTCCTCTTGAACGTCCTGGAATCATATGAACTGCCAGTGTTTTCGTGATTGACTGTGAATCCATATACTGCAGAATAGGACTGTGCATCTGATTGTAACACCACACCTACACACACACATTCCGAGATACTTTTGACTTCTTGAGGATATAAACCGTTTTGGCATTCTTAGTGACTGGATTCTACAGGGTTATAGTACATAATATCCAATCAAATCCAATCAAATTGGATCCTCACATCCCTATTACAACACATTATACAAATATTATCCTTTGCCAAGGGATTAAGAGATGTTTTGAACAGGTCACTCCAGGTCCATATATTTTTCATATGTTCCAATAATAGTTCTTAATATCTTAATATATATACATATATTACACCAGAATATCCAATAATGAATCATAATATATCAATATATATCATAGTATCGCAATCTATTTCCCATAATATTTCATCATATTCATTTATATCAAGTAAGTTCAACCGATACCTCACAACATCCCATTATATACAACACTATCCCATAATAGCTCATAATATCTTAATATATGTCTATATAAAACGATAACAGCCAATAATATCTGTATCATAATATCTCAATATATATCAAAATGTTTTCCATACTATTTCATAATATATCTATATTACACCATATTCAAATACATTACACATTATTACACCATAATAATATACAATAATGTATCATAATATCTCATAATATTTTCCAAGTATTTCACAATATCAGTTAATATAAAATAGAAAATATCATGATATACAAATATATCCCATATTATCCCATAATGGTTCATAACATCTCATGATATTACCCCATACTACATCATGATGTCCAACAGTATCTAATAATATCTCACAATATATCTCACAATATGTCCAAACACAATATATTTCAGAATAATATCTATGCCACACCATATTATGCCTAAGCTGAGCTGACTCCTTCGTTCAATATATTTCAGTTTACTGCAACTGCCATGCAAGCCAATATGGCAGATGTGTTGGAGCCAAAGCTGACTCCTTCTTGGGAACCTCCCATTCCCGTGGCCGCTGATGGTGGAGTGCAGACATTGGCACAGATGTTGGCTGCCCGTGGCTTTCTGAAGTACCAGCCTTCAGATGGGGATTAAACAGACAAGGCCTTGCGACGTCTCTCCGTTTTGCTCCCCAGAATGATGGAAGGTTGTCAATGCTGTTCGTCTTGCAGAAGGCTTTTTATCCAGGGCGATTGAGGCGCTGGGCATCGGTGAGATCCTTGATCGCACATCCTGGATGGAGAGGCAAGGCCCATGAATGATACAAATAGACTTTGCCATGAGCTTGTAAAAGCCCAAAAAGCATTCAATTTGGTTGCAGGTGGGCGCCAGAGTCACTTCACGGCTTGGAGCACATATTCTCAATTAGTGGCAAAAGCAGCACAAGATGTTGTGCCAACTACTGGCCAAAGCAGCAAAGATTCCCAAGAGGTTGAAGGGTTGCAATGTGATGAAACGAGGTTGCAAGCGAGCTTACCAAGTGTTGCCTGTTCGGCCTCGTGCATGTGCTGATTCCTTTTGACTCCGCCCTCAAGGCCAAATATGCAATGCCTTGGTCTTGCTCGAGCATCGTGGAGCTGGGCTGTACAAAGCCACCTCGCACAGTCAAGGGTTCCCACTGCGATCCGGGGTTGGTATTGAGGTCCGGGAGTGCGCCCGCGACCTGACCTGGGGCTTGCTGTTGAGGTCCGGTAGTGCCCACTACGATCTGGGGCTTACTCACCATCGTCATCAGCCCCGTCGCCTTCAATATACTATCATCACTACCGTCGTCGTGACCCTCAATTTCATCATGAGCATCATCATCGTCATCAACATCATCATAGGCAACAACGTATTTGCGTGCTCATCAACATCGCGTGTTTGTGTGCCTTTGGACTGTGACTGTGCCAGTTTGCCTTTTATCATCATGATCATGATCATCGTCATGGTCGTCATCATCATCATCTTCTTTCTTTCATACGCTCTTCAGTCGAAGATCGCGTGGACCCAGTGGTCCATCTGGAGCCCTGAAGGGCCTGTACCTCAGCAAGCAAACTTGGCAGCCGAGCAGGGTGCTCGGGCCGCATCCTTGGGACCTCAACATCAGATGCAGCATCGAAAGCTGCCTCAAACAGGGGCTACAGGTCATTCAGACCCATGCCATAAATGAAAAAGGTAAGCGGCGCACCACCTCATTGGGTGTGCCCTTGAAATGAAGCTCACTGCGCACATCAGCCAAGGGACCGGCATTTTGCCATCTGGTTCGAGGTACTGCGGAAGGTGCCACCATGCCCCAGGCCAACAGCCACCGATGATGCATTCTTCTCAAGCCGCTGGCAATGGCAGGAATTGTTCATAAGGAAAAAAGGTGTACATATGTCAAAGCAAAACCGCTCGTTTCCATGCCAATTTTCGTTGATGGCAGAGTCATGAATGAAGTTGTTCACCTCCTCTTGCTTAATCGAGAAAGGGGACACATCTGCCAACCATAAGGCTGCTGCTGCCCCCCCGAGAGGAGAGCGGAGCAGCCAAAGAAGACAGCTGTTCTCCATGCCAAGGATGGCCGTGCAGAAGTGTCCACTGGGCCCCCAGAAGAGAAGGCAACCGGACCTGCTGAGCCGATTGCATGCCAAACTTTGGTAACCACCATTGCATCTGCTTAAACCAACCATGGCAATCATGTATTCAAGCTATCATCGTGCCCCCCTGTGAGTTGAAGAATCCCAATTGAACTCCCAAAAATTCGTGCTTCTCGGCAGTTGTGATGGCGTGTGAGCCACCTGCTGCCTGTGGTATGAGCCAAGTAGTCGGAATCAACAGCTGGAGGCCACCAGGTAGTCCAGAACAGAACTCCTCCGGGATGAGAATCATGTTGTCACCAACCTTCCCAGTGAAGCCACTGTTGATGAAGGCATTGATGTTGAATGACCACTTGCCGCAAGAGCCCCAATGGTGGAGCTGCCCCCAGTGCCACTTGTGCTCACGGAAGTGAGCTCGTGAAGGTGCACGAAAGTAGGATATCTTTTTGTGCTGAGGTGTTGGAAGTTCCAGATGTGCTGGAGTAGGTCCTAGGCCACTTGGCTTCGCCATCAATGGGTTGTCGTGGGCCAATTGTTTGTTGGCTCCCCCGAACCCCGTGGCAGGTTCGGAACCCTCAGGCCTCCAAGGCATAGCTCGTGAATTGAGCTGGGTCATGATGTGCTCGGAGAAGTTCACAAAGATATATAACTCCAACAAGTAGGAGTATGCTTGCCTTGGCCGGGGACTTGGGACCCCGGTGAGTGTCCAGTCTCTGGCAAGGACCGTGGGATGGTCTCCTTGATTGCCAAGATCGTAATCCCCTGCTTGAAGAACAGATCAGGTAGGTCAAAAACCTGAAAAGGAGCCAAAAAACAGAGGGCAATCTCAAAGGTCACCACGGTGAAAAAGGCCCAGAACTTGTTGTTCAAGGTCAGGTCGAAGTAGGGACCGCCACCAGGAGGATCTGGAAAAAGACGGGCAAAGTCCCTGTCCATGTGGCGAGGGACATCCGCACTAGCTCGGTCATTGGGCATGACCTGAGCCTGAACACTCATGGCCCTTATCATCATCATCATCATCATCATCATCATCATCATCATCAT